GCAACACAAGCGATCTTCATCAGGTGTAAAAAACAAATCACAGAGGTAAATACAACAAGAAGATGAGAGATGAGAATTCAACAAACCCAAGAAAAAATATGTGATGCACAACCAGTCAGGTCAACAACACAGTTAGACACTTACCTGGTAGACCACGAATTCAGAAGAGTGTTAAATTTCGTGTTCAACCTCTGAAGCTTGCCATAACGTAAGGGACCGTGGCCAATTACAGCCAACGCCAGTTGAGCGTGGACAATTAGACCCAAGCCGAAACATAATATATAAACAAGATTGTTTAAATATATATTTTTATTATATAATATAGTATTGTCATCAGAATGACATAAGTATACCAAGTTTGCAGTCGATACCACATTGGGAAGTGGGTTAAAATTGAGTTACAATATTTGAGGATACAACAACAGACAGTGAGTTAAATGAAAGCATGTAATGTAAAAAGCAGTAACATCACTGTGACTTAACCAACAAACAAGCAAACGATGCGGTTGCGATTCGGTATACACCGCTGCGTTGAACTGCAGCAACAGATCCGTGCTTACCCGTGGATACTCACATTTCCAGGCCCAGTGGATGGTAAATTGGTATACAAATGAAAAAAAAACGTGTATACATGAATTCTGCGTTTGGCGAGGCATTGCTGTATATTAATTTAATGATGATAATATAACTGATAATGCACATGGCGTTCAGGAAAAAGGGGTGTAAACGAGTGCATAGGCAGTACGCGAATTATGATAACGATTGCAATTATGCTGAAGTGGGGCAAGTGCGAGTAAGGAGAATGCAAAACGTGTGCAGAGTATTAAGTGCCATCATCAAACCCGGGTATACCTTCACAATGAGCAATATCCACGATGTCGTGCTTTATTTGTAACGCATTATGACCGATTCACCACCCATCACTGCCGTGGACGCCTGACTACGCCGCTCCTCTGGTTCTCTCTGTCCAGCTGCGCCACAGGCATCTCCACCAGCTCTTCGCCCCCTTCTTTCACCCCCTTCTTTCCTACTCGTGCCCTTCCCACCACGTCAGGTGCCCCCCTCTTGCCCTCATCCGCATGGTCCCCCCAAAATGCTTCGTGGCGACTAGGCCTTGTTCGGGCCCAGTCTCAGTTTTTCTCGTTCTCCTCACTCCACTTATTTAATTTCTCCTGTCTCACTCCTCATCATAACTTGACCCCACCCATCTCTCTGTTCCTTGTCCTCCCACCTGGTTCTATATATTTCTGTTCTGCATACTCACCCCCTCCCTCCTCCACATTAATATCGCTCTCATCATCTCCTCCCCTTATTCCGTCAAACCCTTCCCCAACCCTCTGCCACTCATATCTCCTTCCTGCTCCTCCCTTATCAATTCCTTCCTCCACTTCACCCCTCCTCCTTTGCCTTTTTCTCATGATCCTCTTCATTCTCTCCCTGTTTATTCCCTCTACCCAGCTTCCCACTCCTCCCCATGCACGTCCCTTTCTCCCTTCGGAAAACAATCTTTGCTTCCACACCTCTATCTCGTTCGTTCATTCATTTCTCAATCCGCTTGTCCTGGTGATGGTCGCGGCGGCAGCATGTTGAGTAGGGTGGTCCAGACCTCCCTTTCACTGGCGACAGACTCTAGATCATCTTGGGGAATTCCCTCTATCTCACGATTCTAAATGTTACTTCCCCAAAATGTCTGCGCTCCTAACCTGTCCTCCCTCTTCTACTAAACCCCTGCGATGGAGGCCCACTTTATGTAATCGAAAAAGCATTAGTAAGCTGTGAGTCTTGCTCCTCCTGTTCATAGGTGGGATATAATGCAAGTCTGGGCCTACACCATTTCTTCCTCCCTCTTCTTAATTTAGTGCTTCCGACTTTGCACATTGTTCCGGCTTGGGTATCCTACATATGACCACACATGGTATCCTCTAACATGCTGGACAATTTATTCATATTCTTAGTTCTTTCGGTAAAGTCACGTTGAAGGGAAACAACAAAATAATAAAATATATATAAAACCTCGGCCGTGGCAGATCATTGTTATAATTCAGTAGGCTCACATGCCATTGACTTTTCCAAGACAGAGGTTCTTTGTAAGCCATCTGGCTACCATGAGAGATTCGTTCATGAGGCTATCCACATATACAAGCACAGAGACAATTTCAACCGAGAAGATGGATTCTATCTTAGCAATCATTGGAAAGATTAGATAAAGCATGTCAGGTCTTAATTGATTGTTCATGCTTACAGTGGATTCAGACAGCATACAAAAAAAAATTCGTCTCCCCCCTCCTCTTTTCAGAATATAGATGGACTAGTCCTAAATAAACTGCCAAATCGCTGCACGTGGCGCTAACGTTTTTTTTATAAATAAAGAAATGCACCGTTTAAAAATAAATGTATGCAAACCAACACACCTGAAGACGACCGTTTGTGTTATGGTCGAAACGTCGTGAGAATTTTTATTGTTTTTATATATATTTTATTATTTTGTTGTTTCCCTTCAACGTGACTTTACCGAAAGAACTAAGAATATGAATTACTGCAGTCACGAAAGCTTTAAATCAAAATTTAAATCAAAATTTATGCTGGACAATCTTCACTGGATATTGTATGCATCACCGAAACTTGCCTCTCGTCTGGGAAGAACACAATGTGACTTTGTATTTATAACTTCAACTATTTTAGACTCGACAAACTCTCGAATAAAGGTGGTGGTATTCTAATCTGCGTATGCTGCGACATCACATGTTCTTCCATCCATTCGACCATGGTCCAGGATCACCTCGATGCCCTCTCACAGAAGATAAACTCTCCCCAGAATCCTATATGTACCATCCTTTTGTGCTGCTACTCGCCACCAAAAAGCCATGCTTCCATGTCGTTGTTACTTCTGCGGAATGCCATCTCTACTGTTACCTAAAGAGGAAGTGATTATCACTGGTGTCTTGAACTGGAATTGAGTAAATACTCCGACTGAGGCTGTTGCCTTAAAATATTAATGTAAACGAACCCCGCGGCTCATCTCTTCGCTGATGTGTCCTAATATCACCCTTGATGTCCCCATTATCATAATGATCCAGACATATTTGTAAAAGTGGGTGTCCTTGGATATCATTTTAGTGATCGCTCAACGATATTTGGCATTCTACAAATAAAACTGTTTAACGTTTCACATGCAGTATATTTAAGAGCTCTCTTAAGTAATTTTGACCGTCGACCCTTCATCTGCAACATTGCCAATTTTGACCGACCTCCATTTGTAAAATTTCCATATTGGACACAACTTGGTCTTTCTCCCAAAATACCTCCCCTTCTATAGTTGACAAACTTGCCCTTTATAAAAAAAAAGTTTGGAGTCAGGGGAAATCAAGCCGATTGGTTTAACTCAGAAATGTCTCAGCTCATCTGCTCTAAAACGTAGCTTGTTAACTCGCTAAGCAAATGGGTTTGGACTCAAATTGGACCAATTATTCTTGTCTTGTGGAACTGCTGCATCAAATTAGTTCAGCAAAGCAAATAATGTCACTTTCAGAATCCCTTCTTGGATTCAAAATATGATCCCAAACTCTTCTGGTGGGCCAATAAAAAGCAATGAGGGTAAAATATCGCCAAGGCGTTTGATCGATAGCCATTGCCTTTCCAATCAAACTGCAATTATGAATCTGTTTAACCCACACTTTGCATCTGCAGGCCACATCTTCAACCGTGACATCCAGCCGCGTCACACTGCCATGCACCCGCCTCTTGTCCCACTCCCTCACCTCGAATCAGAAATTAGATTTCCTCATAATTTTCGAAATTGAACTCCTCACCTTGCATTTGTCATTCAAAGCAATATGTCGATTATTTGCATTGTCTATGTTCGTATGTTGAACTTTTTCACACCACACGTAGCCAACCGCGCTAATTGGAGGTACAGTGTTGAGTCTACAGTGCAGTGTAGAGTCTATGAGCAGTGTTGAGTCTATGGACAGTGTTGAGTCTATGGGGAGTATGTATGTTGAACTTAGTTCGCACCGTACATAGCCAACCGTGCTAGTTGTAGGTGCTGCTGCTACTGATCCTGTATGTATGTGTAATTACCGAAAAATTGCCCCAAGCCAATGTACAGCCAATCAGTTACTCAAAATAAACCAAGGACTCCAATTGACTGAAATAGGCCTCCACAGGGATTGGTGTAGGCCCAGACTTGGTCGGGAGGCAGGCTTTTAAAGTGATTGGAGGAAAGAGTTTGAAAGTGTAACCCAGAGGCGATGGTTGGGATCCATTAGAGGGGAAGGACAAGGATTGGCTAAGGGAAATACAGTGGGGGAATATTCCAGAAAGGGAACTGGAATTATATTAAAGGGCAGAGCACAAGGGGAGGGGACGTTCGAGGGAAAATACAGCTTCAACTCCAAGCACGAAGCCCGGACCTACATTATTATGTGTTAAATAAAGTGGATCCTAGTACTTGGTCGTTTGAGTCGTTACATATGTGTGTATGTTGAACTTCTTTCGCACCACCGTGCATAGCCCACCTCGATAATCGGAGATGCGTGGGAAGCACAACAAACGAACCACTAAAAGCAACCTTTCTGAGTGTGAGGACCTCTTATATTTTGCGCATGCTACCAGTTATTCGAAATTGTATGTTTCCTTGATGAGAATGCTGTAATTTTAATTATTTTCCCTGGACCCCATGTAAGTAGCCTTGTAGACCACCAGGAACACCAGCTCTATGTTTAAGTGTTTAGCAATGCGATAGACAGCTAAATCTCATGCATTAAATCCATTTGCTGCAATTTTTATCTCCTGGCCAACGCTAAAAGCATTAGGCTCAAAGAATGTGACAAGTGTGTGTGTGTGATCGACCAGCATTCTCCTCCAAAGTGCTATATTACAGGCATGCGCCCTCTGCAAGCAAGAGCAATAAACAATGACCACAAATCAACAATGTGAACACAAGCGTTAGTTTATCGTGAATTTTCATGGATGATTTGTCTTTTTATTTTCCCATGCAGAAATTCAGTGTGAGCCCGTGTCAGAATGACGGTGACTGCACTCGAGACGCCTCAAAGCATCTGGGAAGCGGTAATTCTGGGAACTGCGTGGTTATTGCACTACTATGGCTGACATTTATGAACGTGACATGCTTTTGGTATCCAGTGCAAATATTTCAGACAGACAGGCATTGCAAAAAACTTGATCTACATGGAACCAGGGATTAGACCTAATGATTAAACCTGATGATACTCAAGTAAATTTGAAACTGGTCCCAGGGTATCATAATTCAAATACCAGCATTATACCTTATTGGCATGTATATCATATTTTCATTATTTTACAATTGTGCTCTTGGCTTCACGTGAGAAGATAAATAAGTGCGTTTCAAAACTAGTCGGTTATTTTGCGTTCGAGTACAAACCCTGCTAGATAATAAAACTGAACGACTCATTTTCATTAGGTTGTATCATATGCACCGAATTTTCACAGGGCTCTACAATGTCTCAAACATGGCAATCATGTTTCTTTAAATCTTTTAGCTGGAATACACTGAATGAAATTACAGACCCAATGAAATGGATACTCACCTTATAGTATGATTTTTTTTCCATTACGACCACACTCCAAATCTCAGTATTATCTCGCCACTATCGAGGAAAGACTTCCACTGAAAAATTGTGATTTCGCAATATATATTTCTGAGGAAGTTACTCGGTGGTGAGACTCCGTGATGTTGACACCTGTCCAGAATTTCCTAGTTAAGTAATAATAAAAAAAATATCACCTACAGGGGAACAATGCTATTCATGGGTGCTCATAGACTTGTATTTTCTGTCAAAGATTATGCACTAGAATTTGCAATGCATAACATCTAAATGCAATGCATTTTCAAGATGCTGCACAAATACAGTTCAGACATTGATTACGTCATGCAGTGGAAAATGGGAGGTCTTGAGCCTGGCATTGAACAAGTTGAGAGTGAAAAATAGTTCCACATGAATCGTTAAGTAAACCCCCATTTTTCGTTTTACAACTTGGAAGGTTTCTCTGATGGTTGTGGTGTATGGGTCTGTCTCTATTGTGTGTGACGAGTATAGGAATTCAGACAGGCCGGTGCATACGCTATGACGCCACGTGCAAATCGTGCGAGGTGATGGGCTGGTGCCCCGTGGAACGCCGCACCAGCCCTCCCCAGTGAGCACAATCTCATGCTGTCTTTCTTAGCAGAGGGGAGGCCAGTCTGCCATTTATGCTGTTGAAAGATCCGTTTGAAATTGGTTTGGCAGTCCCTTGTCCAAATACAGTCGAACCCATCCACTTCATGATGGTAATTGGTTCCACAAAAACGGTCGATAAGCGATTTTGGTCATAAGCTAAATGCTTAATTCGTTAGTATATCATCGAAAGTTACCCCTTTTCACCCAAAACACGTACTTTATAATATTTAAACAATGGATATTAATACATAAAGATACTAACAACATTATAAAGACTTAAAATTAAAAGAACATGGTTAATCAATGCATTAATTCATATTTTCTGTACCTACCACAGCCAGTCTTTAACAGGGGAACGGTGGGTAAGCGAACACATTGGGCTCTATGGAGGCCCGTTGTTAAGAGATTAGTCATTCACCGGGGTGGTCATTCAGAGGGGTTCTACTGTACTGCACTGAAAGTCACTGCTCTAGTCTTTTGCTTCAAATGTCTTCAACACAATTATTCAGTGATGGAAGATTATTTATAATAATAGAATTGGATAAACATATGCATACATACACACGGTTAAAACAAACAGGAAATGTTCGAGTACATCATCACAGAATGCTTAAAAGTTGGGTTTTAGCTAAACGAGCAAAGCAAAAGTCACGTACGAGTTGAAAAATAAATGTGGGCACATATGGAGCAAAACCTAACGAGTGAACAAAGAAGCGTTAAGAAGTGCATGCTCGGAAGTCATGGAGGCTGTTAGAATGGAAGTCAAGGGAGGGAACGGGCTTGGGAGGATGTCCACCAGGGCGAAGAAGCGATAGAATCAGCTCATGTGCAGTTGTGAAATAGAATTTTAAATAGCAAGAATGTGAGAGATGGCTTCTGCTTGGGAAGGCCTTTATCTACCAGTGGATTAATCATGGCTTATGATCATTACAGCACCGTATCATGTTTCGCATTTGTCTTATCAGATGGTCACTGTGAGAATTTTTCCACAGAAGTGTCTACCCTTGTCTGAAAGGGCCGTTGTGTGTTCTTGTATGCAGGCCACCATTGCTGCCTGCCACTGAGAACGCCACAGTCTACATTCAGAACCACGTGTATTTCATTAAGAACAACAAGGAACGGTGAGATTTAATCACATGCGCACATTTCAAGACGATACAATTTCCACAATACGATGCGTTATGTAAACTAGCTCGCAGGAGGGCGTGGGTTCGATCCCGACCCTGATGGCTCATGATTTGGAGTTTGCATCTTCTCGCCGTGGCTGCGTGGATGCTATACATTTTCACGTACAATAAGCCACGTCGTCGAGCTATCATATGTGGCGATGTTGCTTCTGAAAAGAGCTACATAGCTCGGTGGGCCTTTCCTGGTACAACTTGCTTTAGTTCCCCTAATGTTGTAATTGTATTTAAACATTGCATTGCATTGTTTTATTGGGGAGTAAACCCACTACAACATTTACAATTCGAGTAGCATGACGTTTCATGGGTAATTACAACCAGCATCATCGAGCAACAGCCATAATTATGGAGAAATCTTCCTACAGTTTTGGTCTTAAATAGAGGGGTAAATGTGATGTCATAATTTATTAGCCAAGGCATGGGCTAATGTATTCATATAAATTACAATGGATATATAGCATTGGTTGGGTTATTAACAGTTAATAAATATACGTAATGTATGTACATCACGCAATCACATTATTAATCCATATTATTATTTTTATGTATTATGTATATATTATATATGTACATCCTGCTATTTTTGTGTGCAAAAATTGCATTGCCTGTTATTGGCTTCTCACAGGTAATCAATGGTGACCTGTATAGGCATGCAATTAAACAGTGTACGTATTACTTGGTAATACACTTCCAAGCTGCACTCAGCCTGTAGCTATCAGAACAGTTAATATCATTTTTGTTTCTCTAAATTTCAATACATGCCCTAATTAATCTTGACCAGTAGTAACTAGTTTTGCACAAAACCTCAACAATACCAAAACAAATGGAGTGTCCTTGTTGGCACGCGTGTTCTGGCACTGCCAACAGTTGTGTTTGAGAGTATTGAGATATAATTTCTGTGCGGGGTGATGGTGTGACTGAATTCAGATAGGCGTCAGTGTGTATTTTCTTTAAGTAAACGCTATGTGTTATTTTTCCGTTTCAGCCACTCGAGCAGCATTTCTAGAAATGAGAGTTTTTTTATATATAAATTAATTGAGTGCATCTTTCTCGTGTGGCCAGACAACATATCTAAACCAACTAAAAAGGTTTTAGTGTACTTGAGCTATTGCTTTTGCTTCAAAGTTGTCCATGTGTAATGGGTTCAACTGAGTCGTAGACGTAGACTTGAAGGCAACACATTTCTTCAGTTCCAACACACGGGATAACTTTCCCCTTAACAGAATAACAACCTATGGTAGTGACCACCAGGCTAACTACACTAATTACAACGTAACTGCTACTATGGATCGGGACCAACAGCTTCGGCTCGGGTGCACGTGTTGGAGACTCGTTGAACGGAGAACGTAGACGAAGGGTTTCTTCCAGGATGAACAACAACCCTGCCACCTCTCGGGACCCGGCTTATATTCTCTGTGGCGTGGCCGGATCCGCCCTTGGCCACGTCCACCTTCCAGAATCCTCGGGAAGGATCTGGGTTCCAATCATGTGACCACCCCCAGCCCCCTCTTGGGGCCCCTTTGTCAACTTACCCGATCACGTGTCCTCCCGGGTCAACCAGGGTGCCATGGCCTCACATAACCTCATCATTCAGCCGGCACTCACACACCCTGTCCTGTAGGGTCGGCACTGCACGCAAAGCGTGGTGCCATCTAGTGCTATTATTCAGCGAGTACTGGGCCCCTCTCGGGCCGGTACTACACCCACATCATTGTGGTATCTGCGATGTCGCTACACCGCACGCACCGTAGAGATTCTTAATTGCAGGAGACAAAGGAGAGCCCATTGCTGCTTCTTCCTTTTGTTGATAGAAATAACATTTCTACAAGAAATAGGTGTTCTTTAGACAGTGCTCAGCTAGTCGTGGGATATCTTTGGGTAAACTTGTGTTCATTACCAGTGTCGAGTAACTTAATTCACTCTTTCACTGGAATCCTCGTGAACAGAGAAGTCACATCAAAACTTACCAGAATATCGTTCGGCTTAAGCTTAATACAGGGTGTTTTAAATGGTTGGACTCAATTTTAAAGCAGTATATTTCACGATGGCAACATGTTACAATTACACAAAAAGTTATACACGGTTTAATGAGTTAATATGTTTTACAAACCATTTTATAAATTATATGGGCCCTCCACCTGCTGTACGGACAGCATCGAGACGATAGTTGAATTCGTCCCAAACGCCTCTCTTCTCACATTTTCCTCTGAGGTGCGTGGTCGCCCTGTGCTCTTCCCCTTACATAAACAGCCTGTTTCCTCAAATTGTCGCTACCAATGACGAATGCTCTTTGACATTGGCGGATCAATGCCAAAACGCCGTTGAAATGCACGCTGTACCGCAATTACGGATTCAGTCTTGCTGAACTACAGAATGCAAAACGCCTTGTGTTGTGGGGTCACCATCTTGCGAATGACTGAGGCTATGGGCTGTTTGTGCACTGGGAGAGGCATCTAGCGGTAATAATTTAAAACTCTATGCCCCGCCAATTCAAGTGGTAACAGTTTCATTAATGGGCGGTTCGTGGTTGCAGAGATATAGCGATTTTAAATCGGGTCCATCAATTTAAAAACACCCTGTACATATATTTCATTATATTTACAAGAAGTTTTGAGTTTTCAATGAATGAAGAGGAAACTGCCGATGAATGGCTGTATTTGTTTTCGTTACGCATTGTGCTAATTTGCATGAGGCAGAGCCTATTGTACTAACCGTGGGTCTTAATGGCCAACATCAGGTCTGTGAACATTTGCAGCCCATAAATTCTTGGGTGGCTTTGACGCCCTTGGTTTGTTCAGGTATTGCTCTTCCTTGGGAATGACCGGTAATAACTTGGGAATTATTGCAATAGTCTTACATTCCAAGGCGTTGGTTGGGTCTCGTTTCATTTTCAGGTAGGTACCTTCATCCAGTAAATATCTCATTTTATCATCATAATCCTCACAAGGTATCACGAAAGTTGATTGGCTTTTTTATCAGCAGGAGGAATTTGGATATCTTAATTTGCTCTCAACTCCCTGAAGGCTTTTGATTCACTGCAACTAATATATATTTTTTGGGCAATTTACCATTCTCAATTATTCCTTGGGTTTCCTGCCTGCTGAGTGAGAAGGCCCTCTCCTTCTCACGGTAGATCCGATGTCACAAAGCATTCACAATCAATCCAAGCAACTACATTCCCAACAACTCTTGGTCCATTCACGGAGGAAGTTGCTGGTGGCAGATGGTGACTTATAATTGTGGTAAACTGCTCTGCCTGACACTGTAGAACATGATAATACATGTCAAAATGTCCATTGGCGGAATCTGACAAGTGGTAAATGCTGCACAACTCAGAATTGAAAAAATAAGTCCGAAACTTGTCCCAATCCAGAATCAAATTCACTTTTAATTTTTACTGGAGGAATCCAGCTTGCTCTAGCCTCTCACTTCACTGTTCAGTGCAATTGGAGGCTACTGGTGTCGAGGTAAGGGCCAGCTGACCACACCATGGTCAGAGATGACATCTGGTGGCTCGACTCTTACTAAATCAACGGTCTGATCTGCTGGTGTGATAACGAGGTGAAGTGTCTCACCATCGTTATGTGTTCGGATCAGTGGCACATGTTGAATGCAGTCGAAAGCTGCTAAGAATACCTTGTAGACCTGTTACATCACTGTCATCCAATCTTTTCGAATGGATGTTGAAGTCTCCAGTGATGACAATGTGGCAATTGTAAAGTGACAGAACTTCCAGCTACATGGTCAATTCTGAAAAGAAAGCATCAGTGACAACCACTGAAGCCAGCTGGTACAGTAATAGTACCTGTATGGTGGTGAAAAAACGAATGGATTTTAATGTAGTCGGCCTTGTAGGTAGGGGGACGAACTTGTTTGTGAGTGGGTCTTTGATGATTCACTATGTAACAAAACAAAGTGTTCCTTGGTAGTAAGTGTTATTTCCTCATTGCTTATGCCTGAAAAGTACAGAAAATGGCTATTATTCCCCACAAACTTTGCTTTTGTGACCAGGACAAAAAAATCAAAGTTAATAATCTATTCCATTAATAACACTGTAAGAAAAATGTGTTTGGTTTCTGGGTAGTAAGTGTTATTTCCTAATTGCGTATGCCTCAAAAGTACAGAAAATAGATATTATTCCCCACAAACTTTGCTTTTGTGACCAGGACAGTGATATTTTGAAATTTACCTATTTTCAATGAGAAAACGTGTGCATTTTTGTCTTTCATTCACATAAAGTCCTGGTCACAAAAGCAAAGTTTGTGGGGAATAATAGCCATTTTCTATACTTTTTAGACATAAGCAATTAAAAAATAACACTCAGTACCCAGGAACAAAAATTGTGTTACGTAGTGATATGTAATGGCTGCAACTCCGCCATGGTTGATTGAGGGGAGGTGCGCCCATGACAGCCCGGAACTCACAACCTCCAATATCTCCAAATGTCTACCCCTCGTGAGAACAGTATCTGGGAGATTTTCACCAAGGGGCTGAGTACCAAACTCCTAAAACTATTCAACAAATTGCGTCAGCTGACATAACTTTTGTGAGACCGTATGGGAGGTCTGATATTACTCACATCCACACAACAGATCCTCTGGGCTTCCACTCGACATTTCTAAATTTGCGTTTGGGCTGTTTAGATTATTTTGCTGCTATAAATGCCCAAATGATGATATATATAATGGCTGCAACTCCACCATGCCTGTTGGTCCTCCCTTTGGCGATGGTCGGATGCGGCGTGTCGAGTGAGACAGACATAGCCCGGCGGAACCCAACAACGATGGAGATCCACATCTCTGTGAGAAGAAAAATGTCATCGTGTGCCTAGTCGATCAAACAGAATACGTTTGTTTACTTATTCCCGACGTGATCTCACGTTCAACAGTCTCAACTTCACTGAGTGGAGTGGAGCTCGATATTTGTCAGCAGCAGTAGAGGGCTTAAATACCGGAGACTCCGTTCACTGGATGTGCTCTCTTCAATTGTACTTCTTAAATGGTGGGATTTCAGAATGTATTGTACACTAGTGTAAGGTGCAATATTAAGGTAATGCATTATAAGGATGATCTAACAAAATCAAGAACATCCTAGGTTACTTTAAAATAGGTTTTATGCACAATACGATCCAAATAAATTATGTGAAGTTTATTTCAGCAATGCCCCCTACTCCCCATGGTCACTCACCATCAATCCACTCATCTCATTTCCTTCTTCATTTATTCCACGCATTGTCACCACCACCTCGTTTGACACATATAGTCCATCTACTCAACTTGTTTCATCTCGCCAACCATCTTGTACCATGGTTAGTTCAATGTACAGTGCCTTGTTTCAGACGCTTTATAAATGTATGATAAGATACTAGGTAAATTGAGGTTCTGCGCGTGTATTCATGCCTCCTCGTGTTTACTCCTCAGCGAAAACTTCCCTCTCAACTTGGAGGGCAAAGACTTATCCTCGTGCCGTTATCACCCTCGTGACGACCCCTCATGCCCCATCTTCCGCCTTGGTGACATCACTGCCATGGCAGGGCACAGCTTCTCGAGCATGTCTGTCCAGGTGAACGATGATAATTCATCAACACTTGTTTATGTCAAAAGAGAAACGTATTGAATGCTGATGACAAATGAATTTAGAATGTACACCATTGGAACCTCCTTTGCCAGGAGCAAAATATGATAATTGTTTTTTTACCCTTTTATCTGGCAACAAAACTGACACCTTTTTTACAAGGAGTCATATTTGCATTGACCACAATACCTGCGGTCGGAATGCAAACAAAAAACATAACTCTGATAATGTAAAAAAATATAAAAATGTGTACATATTGTTTCCAGATAAAAGGCTAAAAAAACAATTATCATATTTTGCTACTGGCAGAGGAGGTTCCAATGGTGTAAATGCTTACCCCGAGCTCTCATACTCTGATGGTACGTTGTCTTTGAGTTGTGCGCCTTTTGGAGTCATCTGGTCCCAACACCATGTGAGACTAGGCTCTAAGGAAAACTGTATCGGGTGTGGACCAATCAGTTTCAAGGACAGTGCATACATTATCAGAGTTATGTTTTTTGTTTGCATTCGGACCGCAGGTATTGTGGTCAATGCAAACATGACTCCTTGTAAAAAAAGGTGTCAGTTTTGTTGCCAGATAAAAGGGTAAAAAACCAATGATCGAATTTAGAATGTCCCCATTCCCCAATCTCATCGGATCTCCAAAGCTCCAAGATGGACCCGATTTGAAATCGCTATATCTCTGCAGCAACGAACCGCCCATTAATTAAACTCTTAACACTTGAAAGGACAGGGCATAGAGTTTAAAATGATTACCGCTAGATGCCTCTCACAGCGCACAAACAGCCCCTAGCCTCAGTCATTCGCAAGATGGTGACCCCGCAACACAAGGTGTTTTGCGTTCTGTAGTTAAGCAAGACTGAATCCGTAATTTCGGTGCAGCGTGCGTTTCAAAGGCGTTTTGGCATTGATCCGCCAATGTCAAAGAGCATTCGTCATTAGTACCGACAATTAGAAGAAACAGGCTGTTTATGTAAGGGGAAGAGCACAGGGCGACCACGCACCTCAGAGGCAAACTTGAGAAGAGAGGCATTTGTGACTAATTCAACTATCGTCTCGATGTTGTCCGTACAGCAAGTGGAGGGCACATAGAGCTTTTATAACATGGTTAGTAAAACGTGATAACTCATTAAACCGTTTGTAACTTTTTCTGTAATTGTAACATGTTGCCATCGTGAAATATACTGCTTTGAAATTGGGTCTATTTTGTTAAACAACCTGTATAACACCGCTGTTGGGCTACGTAGTGAGCAACACAGGGCAGTTAGGAACATTCATTGCTGCATTGCCTCTGTACTTTTTGTCATGACAATTACTATGCATAGTGCCTCTAAGCAAGTCAGCCAGGATGTGCATATCATCAAAACTAAACTGAATATTGAAGCAAACATACCAATGTGCCTCTAAAGAAAGTGTTCAATCAGCGTTTATTTTGTCATGATATATGGATCAGAAACAAATGGACATTGATGAAGAGGATATGACAACAAACTGAATAGTACACAAAAAAGAATGGAAATATGCATGCTTCCAATTACACTGAGAGAGAAAGAGCAATGTATGAATAAAATCAATTAAATTTCGATTTAAAGCTTCCGTGACTGCAAGGATTCATCTTCTTTGGTTCTTTCGGTAAAGTCACGTAGAATGAGAATAAAATAATAAATTGATAAAATAAAATAACACAATAATATTCGCACGACGTTTCGGCCACAACACAAGCGACCTGATGAAGGACGCTTGTGTTGTGGCCGAAACGTCTTGAGAATATTATTGTGTTATTTTATTTTATCAATTTATTATTTTATTCTCATTCTACGTGACTTTACCGAAAGAACCAAAGAAGAAAAATTAATTAAAGCAGGTTAAATATATGATTTTGGCTGTCAAGAAAGGTAAGTGGGTTTTGGAGAGAATAGGTTGGTAAAAGAGACAATGGCCGGTGTGTGAGAATAACTGGAGTAGTAGCCAAGAAGGGAATGCACTAAAGGCGATGTCCACCAATGGAGTTGTAGCCATGTGATAAGATCAAGTACAAGTGCTGGGTGAATAGTGCATTGCTGGACAAGAGAGTTGACTCATAATGCTCGATGATGATGACTTTTCACTCATATGTAAGAATGGAGTTTTTACAGAAAGATATAGTAAGTCATAAGAAATAACGTTCACCCACGCTTCCTCACAGGAATCTAAAGCGCAGTATAAATTAATACGTGCATTGTTTAACCTCACCTGCAGGGTGGGATCATTGCCATTGTCATCTCCTGGGACTGCAAGCTGTCCGAAGTAGAGTGTTTCCCTGCATATTCCTTCCATCGCCTCGATAGAAACTACACCACCAAGCGTGGATACAACTTCCGGTGCGTTCACTCTTACATTCCCACAGCAATCAGACTCAGAATACTTATTTTTACTGGGGGAATCCAATGAGTTATAAAGCTGAGATCTCTCTTATACCTTATCAATCTGACATTGAAACTATTACTGTTATCTTCACCATTATGACCATAAATATTACCATACAATCCACTGTTATCATCCTGTAAATCCCAGGTACTTGCTAATGATAGTCATTACCATCAGTATCGTCATCAGACAAGGGTTGGTGGTTCACATAGAGAGCGTACATAATGCACGGGTTTATGCCAGCGTTTAACATGTGGAGAGATCGTGTGAGGACAAGGGGGGTGAAGAGTAAGTGGATTTGAGGGGGATCGGTGGCTGCACTCGGGGTATTCCACGGATGTCAAGTCGGAGAAACAATCAGCAGCGGCATCAACGTGGGATGGAGGAACTTAGCAAATGTAATACGACACAGGGAAGGTTGAGTTTATTGGACGAACTATATTCTGTTCTTGCGTATGGCAATATGTTCGTGAGCGAAATGCCAATGCCAAGATCCGTTCGCTATGAGAGGGCTTCAGTGGAGAGTTTGTGTGTATTTTTGCTATTCCTCCATTGAAGAAGCACAAACTACAGCGGTTTGTTTATTCTATGGTCCATAGTTTGGGTTGCGTGGCCACAATCGCTCTGTGGCTTGTATTTCATGTTCCATTCATGAAGAAGATGTGCACAGAGGTGTGATGATGTTTTTACGTGATCGATGGTTAACTAGTGTATTCGAGAAATGGCAAAGCCAGGAGGTGTGATGTTTGGGCCTTGACTGAGGTGGTGTTGATTCTTGACGTCCACGTTTTTCCACTCCGATTGCCAGAATTTTACTGGATTCTGGTGAAATTCTAGGATGATGACAGCACGATCACAGAAGGGGCATCGGGACTTGAGTCGGTGGTGAGCGACACTGTTCAGGGCTTGGTGGATGAATAGTCGTTAGCTTGTCACTGAGAAGAAAATGTGGAAATTCCTTTGCAGTTTGCGTGTCTCTTCAGATATGGTGTGACGTCATATTCGTCATAACAGGGAGCTCCCAGAGATTGCTGTTGCTTTCAGTGCTCTGGTTATGAAGCACGTTGCGTTATTAAATTGTTCATCTTGAGCAGTGGTTTTTAACCTTTACTGTAGCCTTACACCCCTTTGGTTCTCAATCGTAAACAAAACGATAATGTTAATAAACGCATAGGTTTGATGAAACAAAGTCGGTGTACTTACGTGCCCATGCTTAATTTGTGTTTCTATTATTAACCTTTAAAAAAATCTGGCCATGTCTCGCACCCCCAGAAAGGGCATCTCGCACCCCCAGGGGGTGCGACGTGCACCTCAGGTCAAGAAGAACCACTGCCTCTAGAAGTTTAGTGTACAAGCTCCCGAGCCAGGCTGGAGCAGGATACGGTGCCGCTGTGTAGATCAGCGCTCGGGCAGCCGTTTGCAGCGCATCAGCAGAGGTGGTCCAGGTCGGCCCTGCACATTGCTGTAGCAGGGCGATTCTTTGCTTGGCCTTTACAAAGATGTGGATTATGTGAGGTTTGAGGCCAGTGATTATTTCAGTGATAACCCCTAGATGTCTTGGAGTGAGGTCATAGCACATAGGGATGTGTGATTGCACGATTGTTCACATGGAAGGGAAGAGATAGCAAGGGAGGGTGGTGATAAAGGGAGGAGCGAGGTTATGAAGGGGGAGGATGATTGAGGTTTTTAGGATGAGGACAGAAAGTAGTAGAGGGATACTCTATTGAAATAATATGAGTCTTAAGGGAGGAACGAAAACTGTTGAGTGAGGTTGCCTGTTTAATGTGGGAGTTTATTCCAGTGGGGGGGGGGGGCAGGAGGGAAAAGGAGCAGAGGCGTGACTGAGCAGATGGGGGGGGCGGGGATAGTAGAGATTGTGAACGCAGGGGCCTAGATGGGATAGCGTAAGACATAAGAGAAGTGAGACAGGGTGGGGCAGAACCATGGAGCGATTTGTAAACAAGGGTGAGGAATTTGATTAAACAGCAGTAGTATTCTGGAAACCAGTTTAAATGAGGTTGGAATGAAGGCAACGCTCCGTCCTCAGCAGCTATGATCGATTCTACAACCTGCTTGTTCGGGAGGCAAGTTGGGTTGGTCTGAGCGTGGCAAGTTCCATCGGCATGGAAGTGGACACAAGATAGCGACCACTCTGTAAACATTTCATCACGGCCCTCATACTGCCACAACGACTGGCTTGCCCTCCTCACCCCTTCACAATTTGCGTGATCTCTTGACAATCTTCCACCGGCAGATATTCTGTGAAGTCAATGGAGACAGATGTTCAAACGCGCACGCTGGTCAAGGCCTTTGGAATCCGTTTCAACATTTTGGTGACTGGCCAAGTGAGTATACAAATCCACAATTTTAGACCTGCTCCCACTCGCTCCCATTACTGCCATTCGTGATGTGTACATTTTTTCGAGAGTTAATCCACAACATTTAGTTCGTGCTGAACAAGTAACGAATTGACACGTTTTTGACAAACCTTACTCATTGGCTGTGTTGGGTGGTGGCAGGTTTAACGACACATTTATATTTAAGCGAGCTAACCCACAAAAATCTATATTATGGTCAAAGTGAGATCAGCTGTTAGAATATTGGCAATGTCCCCGAGGTTTGTGCCCTGTGGAACAACGGCTACGCGATCTGCATCTATATATGCGCGAGATGATGTCACGTGTACATTCTGTTAAATACTGACCATACTAGTATTGAACCTTGAGAGAGGCCATGTTACGCCTCGCTCTGTGGCACTCATCTGCAAACTCACCGCGCTGCACTATTTGCACTTACGTAACTAAAGCAAACATTTATGGATGTTGAATTTTTTTTTATGATTCATGGGAACATTTCCATAAAGTCGGATTTCCCTAATTCGGGTCTTCCATAACCTGCCTGTAATGCACTTCTTATATTCGGGAACACTTTTGCAGAACGCAGAACTGCACCATTATACCATGAAATGCGCACATTATAATACGGAATGGGCACCGTTATGATGCAGAACACTCACCGTTATAACGCAAAACGTGCCCATTATAACACGGAATGCGTTCTATTATAACGCGGAACGCGCATCATTATATAACACGAAACGCACACGATTATAACGCGCCCTGTTATAATGCGGAATGCGCCCGCTTATAACGCGGCTTCTGAGCGGTCAGTGTGACGAATTACTTTATATTCTCAGTGTGCCTGAGCAGGACAGCGATGCAGAGTGATACAGTGGTGTACCTTCGGTTCATTGTCCTGCGATCTTACTGCGTGGTATGAGGAGTAATAGTACATTGTATGTCGCCAAACTTTACCATCACATCATTTATGGGGAAATTGTTGTTCGCTTATCGTGGCACTTTTCAGGAACTAATCTACTAGGATAATAGAGTTTTTCCCTTTTTTTCTGGCACCAAAACTGAAACTTTTTTTTACGAGGAATCATGTCTGCATTAACCACATTACTTGTGGTCAGAATGCAAAAAAACACACTATATCCTTAGCTCTTTCGGTAAAGTCACGTTGAAGGGAAACAATAAAATAATAAAATATATATAAAACAATAAAACATAATCTTAGTTCTTTCGGTAAAGTCACGTTGAAGGGAAACAAAAAAATAATAAAATATATATAAAACAAGAAAAATTCTCACGACGTTTCGACCATAACACAAACGGTCGTCTTCAGGTGTGTTGGTTTGCATAAATTTATTTTTAAACGGTGCATTTATTTATTTATAAAAAACGTTAGCGCCGCGTACAGCGATTTGGCAGTTTATTTAGGACTAGTCCATCTATATTCTGAAAAGAGGAGGGGGGAGACGAATTTTTTTTATGCTGTCTGAAAGCCACTATAAGCGTGAACAATCAATTAAAACCCGAGATGGTTTATCAAATCCTTCCAATGATTTCTAAGCCAGAATCCATCTTCTCGGTTGAAATTGTCTCTGTGCTTGTATATGTGGATAGCCTCATGAACGAATCTCTCATGGTAGCCAGATGGCTTACAAAGAACCTCTGTCTTGGAAAAGTCAATGTCATGTGAGCCTACAGAATTATAACAATGATCTGCCACGGCCGAGGTGTTGGTCCTACCGTGTTTAAGGTCTGCTTTGTGTTCACGAATGCGGTCCGAGACATGGCGTTTGGTTTCTCCAATGTAACTACTACCACAGAGGCAACTTAGTTTGTAGACACCAGGGTACTGTATGTCCAGAATCACATCTTTTACAGACGGAACCAGATCACGGATTTTATGTAATGTGTTGAAACGGACCTGGATCTTGTGTTTATTCAAGATTTTGGAGATGTTTTTTGTGATCCCCGCAATGTAGGGTAAAGTGATGGTTTTGAAAGGCTCCTCAAGAGGGTCATTCTTCATGGTTTGAGTGATAGCTTTGCAGATTGTATAGTCGGAGTAACCATTAGCCTTAAGAGCTTGGTGTATGTGCTTGAGTTCACTGCCTATGTGTTCCTGGTCGGATATGCATTGGGCTCTATGGTACAGAGTCTTGATGAGAGAATTCTTCTGTGATGGATGGTGGTGGGAATCCGATTTCAGATAAGCATCCATATGGGTAGCTTTCCTGTAGACAGAGTGGCTCATTGAACCATCAGGTCTCTTTTTTATTAGGACATCCAAAAAAGGTAGCTTGCCATCTTTTTCGACTTCCTCTTTTCAGAACATATATGGACTCGTCCTTCTAAATAAACTGCCAAATCGGTGCCCATGGCGCTAACGTTTTTTATATAAATAAATACACCGTTTAAAAATAAATAAATGCAAACCGCCACTTCTTTCAAATGTTTCTTGCCTTTGGTTTTTCACACCTGATGACGACCGTTTGTGTTATGGTCGAAACGTCGTGAGAATTTTTTTATTGTTTTATACATATTTTATTATTTTATTGTTTCCCTTCAACGTGACTTTACCGAAAGAGCTAAGAATATGAATTGCTGCAGTCACGAAAGCTTTAAATAAAAAAAAAACACTGATAATATATGTATTGTCCTTGAAACTGATTGGTCCACACCAGAGATGGCTTTCTTTTGAGCCTCGTCTCAATTGGTGCTAGACCAGAGGACACCAAAAGGCGTACAGCTCAAAGACAATGCTCTATCAAAGTAATGAGGGCTCGGGGTAACCATAATCTACTACGCGTTAAATGAGGACCATACACAAACCCACGCAAAAATACTTTCACGCACACGCATAAAGATCTTCCGTGCAAAGTTACTTACTCGCACATTGACAAAAATGGACTCTCACACACTCGAAAAAATTAATGCATGCAAAATCACACTCGCATGACTTTAAAATAAAAATAATAAAAAACCCGCTTTATTGCCATACTTCGTATGGCAATTTTAAAACCCGTTTTATTGCCATACTTAGTATGGCAATAAAACGGGTTTTAAAATGTTAACACAAAAAATATAGCTTTCGCAAGGAATCATTATTTTTCGTACTTTTATACTGGCCAAAAAGGTCCCGTAAATATACTCACCCCAGCCACAGACCAGCAAAATGAATGGAGTGAACGGCATGTTTCGAGGTCATTCAAGAGACAATTCTGTTTCGTTTCATCCATGCACCTCATGTGCTGCTTTAGCTTCAATGTAACATCAGCATACAACTAACGCGTGAGTTGCATCTGTGGAACTTTTACCATCCATCCTGCCAAGTCACCTATCTCAAACTGTCGACACATTGTTCTTCTCTTCCGTAGGGTTGGAAGGTCAGCCCTTTACCGACGTTGCTTTACTTAAGCTCGGCGTTCACCTTTTGCTCCATGGTGAGTGGCTTTCCGCAACACGCGTACTGTAAGGGGTGTGAAGATTTGCTGATCGAACTGAACTATAGGTCAGGGAAAATCAAATAAGCTATTTAAAACTGTTTTATTTTACCAGGTAAGGCCGCACTGAGCTATATAACGTTTGTTAGAAGCCACCTGGCCACAAATGATAGCTCAACGAAGTGGCTTATCATCACGTGGAAATGTATAGCAGCCAAATACGTTAAACGTGACGTTGATTTTAAATGTGGAGGGAAAAATCGGAGGACCTGGAGAAAAATCCACGGGGAGAGAGAACATGCAAACTCCAAATATACCAGACGTCAGCGGTCGGGATCGAACACACAACCCTCCTGCACACCAGACGGAGATAGGTAATATCTACTAGCCACCGGGGTGCCCTGGTGTCTTCGGCAAAGAAGTGATGGGGAAAGGTAAATTAAGAAGTGACAGCTCCCAGGGGTGACATACAGAGGGAGACTAGCAAGGGTCCACAGACAGATCTCTGGGGGAGTGGTTGGAAGCAACAGAGGAAATGCATGCAGAGAGAGAGAGAGACTGGAGCCAGGAGAGGAGCGTGCTGCAGATACCGAGACTGGACAGGGTGGAACGGAGTGTGGGGTGATCATCCGTGTCTATGGCTGCGGAAAACAAAGTTACCATCCATGGAGGGCAAAGCGGCGATCATTTATACTGGACATCTATGAAAAAGAGCTTTATAGCTCATCGGAATCCTCCACTATAAATACATATTCTAATTCTGATTTACATCAGTGAGCAGAGCACCTTGCGGCTGAAACGCAGCAGGTTTGCATATCGGGGAGCACATGCAGTATCTCTATCAGTCATCTCAATGAGTTAGCCCATACATCGCCTGGGTCTGTAGAGTTACCTCCAGCCAGTAAGCCTTCCACAAATTACGTGGCCTCAAAGTAAATTGGCCTGGTACAGGCATCGTAGAGACGTCACCTTCACTGAAACATCACCGACATCACCGCCACTGTGTGTGTAGGTAAGTGCATGTATGCACGCAGTTTAGGCACATCCGAACATTGATTTTCATATTCTTATTCTTGGTTCTTTCGGTAAAGTCACGTTGAAGGGAAACAATAAAATAATAAAATATATAGTCAAGTTCAGCTTCACAAACCACGACAGCCTCCTCTTGTCTGCCTCATTGTTTCATCGTTCGTCTAATTTATTCATTGTTTTCGGTATACATATATATGGATTCACTGTATCCACGTTCTGTCCCTTCGACAAATATCTCCAGTGGTTTGGCAAAATTCTCGCATAAGACCTTTGATTTTGCTCATATTTATCTTGATCTCTTGAACTATGCACCCCGCATGATTTAGCACTTCTAAAATATCCTGCAGTTGATTGCCATTGGACCTCCATTAGTATTTACGCCTTCATTGACACGATCAAATTTTCGGAAAATATATTCTCACACCTCAGAATAACTTTGCAAATAGTAGGTCACCTTGACTGACCTCCATTTTATATTTATGTGGGTACATTTCTTGATATCAGTCACTTTGCCATTCTCTATTAGTATGCTACAATATTGGAATGATATTGTGACTTACACATTTCTATGTTGTTACGGCTATTGCCATATCAATTTCACTTAACTTTTTACATTTTTGTATTTAGCATTTCAGTTGTGCACGGCTGTAATTCCAGGATGTGTGAATATTTCCTAAACGTTCTTCAACAAATGTGACCTTAGGTCTTCGCTCATTTACCAGCTTCATAATTCCTTATTGCCATACAAATACTGGAGGAAGGGCCTTTACTATTGATGCCCCCAGGGTCTGGAATGCTATCGCCAATAAACTGCAACTTGGATTACTATCTGTGATATCTTCACTCAAAACTGCTCTAGAGGAGTTGTACACCCCTAGCTGCCACTGCTATTCAGTGGCCTGAAATCACATGTTTTTCTCCGGATGACCGCTGCAAAGTATGATCTTGTGTTTTGATTATAGTGTTCTGTTCTTAAAGGTGCATTGAAAAATTTGGATACTCCTACTGATACTCCTGCTGTTATGGAGTGACTCATGCAGCCAGATATGGCTGAAAAGTTTGGTAGTACATGTAATGTTTATCGTTTATTTTAAAATTTCAATCACAGTTCCTATGATCACTGTTACATTGCTTTTATAGCTTTATTTTGGTGAATTCGAAAACGTTTTGGTTTAGCCATATTTGTTTGTTGTAGTACAGAGTTAGACTGATAACTATAACCTAAATTGTCTTATGGTTGTTATTGTTTGACTTGCATCCCACTGGAATTTTTTCACACAGCATTGATAGACAATGCTTTTTCAGGAAGATTTAGCTGTTTTTTTCCTGGATTTTTCTGTTTGCGCGTTAGTTACTTTAATATGTTCTTGTTCATGTTTTTGTTTGTTGCGGTTGCACCCGATTCAAGAGCCGAATGGCTCACAGAGCTATATCAAATAAATGAAACTGAAGCTTCAGTTCACTCGTCATGAGCCTGCCATAAGTCGTATGCTCATTATCATATATATTCTTCATATTATTTTGCTACGTACCCTGTTGTCAACATACTGCTGCCACACACACATATACAGTGAGTGGGGAGCCGTAGCACACTGCGCTACGAACCTGCCGACCCGAGTTCGATTCCCGCTCACGGCCAACATCAGTGACAATTATCTGAACCGCCCCTGGGCCTCTGCTAGGTTGACTCAGCCTCAAATGAGTACCTGGTGCGGTACGTAAAAAAACATCGCCACTGGGGAAACAAAGGCGGCTGGGCGTGGTGCTGGCCACCCACCCTCTCGTGTGCCGTTCTGGCCTTAATTTGTGCTCGCTAACAGCACTTGCCCCAACAGTCTGTTAAGGCTATACGGGGGGTCTTAGTCTGTCTTCCCACTCACTGTAAATCTTGAGAAAAGTACTGTTTATAATTCCATTCATATATTTCCAGTTTGTCATCTTTTTCAACTTATTTGCCATCTGGTACTTGAAGAAAAACAACTGCAAAGTCGTGGATAAATCGGTAAGTTTGTATGTTTGCGTGCATGTGCAAAAGATTTGGTAAAGTGGATAGCAGCACTGTATTACAACATTCCTGCCCCAAGTTAAATTCCCAGCCATGGATAACATCAGTGGTGAACATCTGAACCGGTCTTGAGCCCTCCAAATATTTAAAGCCGACTCAGCTTAAAATAAGTACCTGGTGTGGTGTGTAAACCTATTTAGATGCTTCTGCTTATTACATTTTTAATTGATCTAGTAAATGATTATTAAAATATATTTGTATTATTTTTATGCCGAGTGCTGCTGTTGTGTCCTGTACAGTGCTTTGAGATCCTTGATGAAAACCCGCTCTTATCAATTGTATTATTATTATTCCCATCATTGTTGAGCTTGTACCACTTGCCTCAACAGTCTTCAAAGGCAAATGTGGAGAATCATTGTCTTTGTTTGAGCATCTGAGTAAAAGGAACACATGCAACAGCTGCATACCTGTCAACCCATACGGTTTACTCCGTATTCTTGCACCGTACAATTGAGTTTTCATGTCCATACCGCATACAGCCGTTTCAATACGGGCAGCATCTTTTGTTTGTGTTTCTCCCTTGTGATATGACTTTGTCGGATGAACGTTGAGATTTATAAGGGAAAAGGGGTGACCAATAAGGTGTTAATTGGCCTGTAATAAGGTAGGCACTGATGAGGAATTTAAAGGTATGTATCTGCCAGGTAGCAATTGCAGGTCCCACCTAGATCGTAAATATGGACGCGGGTCAAGTCGTTTGTAGGATTGCAGCATCACTAAAAATCATACCAGCCAATCGCCGTAACGTGACCGCATTGAAATCCCTGGCCCAACCTGGCCACTGTGACATCGCTTGATCCGTGCGGCTGGTCTATGACCGAGGCAAGTTGTATATTTATGTTGTATGGTTTATTTAAAATAGCAATGTGAGAGAATGTGTGTGCGAATTCCCATCTGTGGATGCGTGAGAGTGCACAGGTGTAATTGTTCGAGTGTGTTGCTTTGAATGGGAATATCTTTGTGTGCGTGTGTTAGAGAGATACTTTTTGAATGTATCTATTTATCGGATGCCATGCTAGCTTGCTAACAGTGTGTTAAAAGGCGATATGGGTCGAAGATAAGTTGTTTTGTATGTTTTCATGATAGTGCGTATTTGTGCAAAAAGAGCATTTGTACGTGATTAGGCGTGCATATCTTCATGAATTTGAGTGTGTGCATGTTTGTGAGAGTGTTTGGCTCTGCGTGAGTGTGTGGGAGGAGCGGTAGTGTAGCGGTTAGTGCACTGCACTATGAACTCGGGGACCCGAGTTTGATTCCCGCTCACGGCCAACACCAGTGCCGATTCTCTGAACCGGTCCTGGGCCTCCCCTAGGTCAACTCGGCCTCAGACGAGTATCTGGTGCGATGTGTAAACATCGTCACTGGGGAGACAAAGCCGACCGGGCGTGGTACTGGCCACCCACCTCCTCGTGTGCCATTCCGGCCTTCATAGGTGCTCGCTAACAGCACTTGCCCCAACAGTCTGTTAAGGCTATAAGAGGGATCTTTGTATTTGTGTGCCGACCTTCATAGGTGCCCGCAAGCATGATATGCTGTTAAAGGCTATATGGGGTATTGTTGTCTTTGTTTGTGATAGTGGGGAGCGGTTACTGCACTGCATTATGAACCTGGCGACCCAAGTTAGATTCCCACTCACGTCCAACACCAGTGAAATATATCTGAACCAGTTCTGGTACGGTGTGTCAACATCGTCACGAAGGTGCTTGTTAACAGCACTTGCCCCAACAACGTGTTTAGGCTATATGGGGAATCTTTGTCTGTGTAAGTGTGTTTTATTTCAGAATCAGAATATTTATTTATCCGGCTGGAAGAATCCGATGAGCTGTAAAGCTCTTTTTTCACAGATGTCTACTAGGGGGACTGAGTAATAACATTACAATAACAAAAATAACAAACAATATACACACGATAGGAGTATAAAGTATAAGAAAGGTAAACACATCACCCAAACACATACACAAACAACTAAACCATCCCCATCTTACCAGACAAAGCCCACTGAGGTATTAACTTATTTTTCAAAAGCGACCTGGCCACAAATGGTAGCTCAACAAAGTGGCTCATCATTTGGACATTTATAGCAGCAAAATGATCCAAATAGCCCAAACGCATATTTATAAATGTGGAGTGGAAGCCCAGAGCATCTGTTGTGTGGACGTGAGTAATATCAGACGTAAGGGGTGATATCGACCACCCATACGGTCTCACGGAATTTATGTCAGCTGACGCAATTTGTTGAATAGTTTTAGGAGTTTGGTACTCGGCCCCTTGGTGAATATCTCCCAGATCCTGTTCTCATGAGGGGTAGACATTTGGAGATATTGGAGGCTGTGAGTTCCGGGCTGTCGTGGTTATGTCCCCATCAAAGTAAAAAATCTCTGGAGGTTTGTTGCAAAGATGATCCGTCTAATGCCTTCAATTACTTCTTTAAAAGGTCACAAAAACAGTTGAATGCCATCAACAAATTAGTCTCAGCACTACCATTATGGTGAAGAATGTAGATGCGATTTATTACCCCTTGTGATCTGATCAGCTTACTTTCTGATCCTTTAGGTGATGTTTTCGCCGATTAAAAACCCATTAACTCAATCAACATCATGCCACGTGTTGAGGAAGTCCAGAGAGTGACATGGCCTTTGAGATCAGATCTAGTCAAGTGCAGGAATGACCTTCCAAGGGAACTGCTGAGCGAGGATGGTGATTCTGGACTAACATACCCAACATCATCGCTCCAGCTTGAAACCAAAAACACGTTCTGCAAGATTGGAAATATGACTCATGTCCTCCAAAAATTGCCATAGCATTTGTCCTGTTGAGCCAAAAGTTTTGCGGGATGGGCATACGGGCTACATGACCCAGCCAACGCAGCCTTGCCTGCTTGCCGCATCTACGAGTTGCACAGTATAGGGTGGTGGTCCAGATGTCGTCTGACCCCACCAATTAATTGACCCCTAATTGTTTTTCCATTTGCTTCCTCATTTCTGTTTTCACAACAACAACTGCCATTCACCACTAAGTGGCGGTGATGTCACCACAGCACTTGTGCCAGGTTATGTGCACGTTGAGGCCACGTGAAGTGTCGAATGCCCGCTGACAGGTCACGGGGCAGACTCAGATGCCACGGGTCGACTGACTGAGATGAATAACCGATCCACTCTTGTGCCCCCTACTGTGCCACCTTGCTGTGCTTTAGCCACCTGGCACTCCGGTCGTTGTTGTAAGCACCACTCGTTCGCTCCCCGTTGTTGTTGGAGGGCGACTACCTCTAACTGCCCAGTAGCGTCCTTCACAAGCCTCCTCCACAGAGGCCGATCTTGACACCGCTGGCACCAGTCATGGGCAAGTCCGCTTAGCTCCACATCATCCCATACCACATCACTCCATCTCTTCTATAGCCCATGCCGCGCCCGTTTAGCCCCCTCAATCCGGCCGAACAAAAGCTGTTTAGGCATGCGGTGGCTGGGCATGCGGACTACATGACCCAGCCAATGCAGCCTTGCCTGCCAGAGGAGCTCACCGATGGGACTTTGTCCAGATCTTTCAAGGATTTGAGATTTGATAGCTACTCACACAATCCAGCCTGGTTAAACCCACGATGGATCTTAAGCAGGCCAGGCTAAATGTTTCTAATCGGCAAAGATGTTCCATTAGGGGGGTCCACGTTTCGGAAGCGTAAAGAACAGAGGGCATGATTGTGGCCGAGATGACCTGAAGTTTTGTGTGGAGCGACAGACCAGGTAGCTTCCACATAGCATTACACAACCGATGAAAAGATAATGCCGCTCAACTGATTCGGAGTAAAACATCTGCTGTCAAACCAGAGCCGCTCATGTGCACACTGCCCAGGTATTGGAAGCTCTCCACTCTCTCCACAACTGCCCCATCACCAATTGGGAGTTGTCGGGGTCGAGTGGCCCATGGTACAAAATACCCAGGCAGGTGCTTAGTTTTGGTGAAACTGATGGTAAGGCCCACCTCTTAGTGGCAAGCTCCAGGTTCAGCAACAGCACCTCCAATTCCTCCTCTGAGTGAGCAGCAATTATCATATCATCGGCATACGTAACATGGTTGACCAATAGGGAGCCATCCCTTGACCACACCCGGGCATTGATCAGCCTCCCATTGTATTTGTACCAGATGTAAATTGCTTCGGTACAGCAATTGAAGGCTTCGAAATAGATGTTAAATGATGTGGGAGCCAGAGGACATCCCTGTCGCACCCCAAGGTGTACAGGGAATGGCTCTGACTCCCGGCCACGTAGTTTTACCCGGGCCCGCTCACCATCATGAAGGTTCTTAATGATCGTAAGAAGAGAGACAGGGACTCCAAAAGCACAAAGAACAACCCAGAGCCCAGGCCTACTGATGGTATCATAGGCCTTGACCAGCTCAATAAAGCAGAGACGTAAGTCTTATTGGAATTCCCTACACCTCTGCTGTAGCAGATGGACAGAAAATATGGCATCTGTGCAGGACCGCCCTTTCCTGAAACCACATTGGGGTTCCACAAGCCTCTTCTCAGCGTGCCTGGAATAATCCTTGCCAGGACCTTTCCCAGCACACTGAGGAGTCTGTGTGGCCCCCCTTCTTAAAGAGGGGGACCACCAGGGCATCTTTCAAATCCTGCGGAACCCGTACAGTGGTTCAGACTGTTATTATAATGTCATGTAGGGCTGTCTGTGCACAAACGCCACACTCCGTCAGCATTTCGCTTTGGAGATCATCTCTGCCCGGTGCCTTTCCTGGTCTCAGACTCTGGATTGCCTTCAGTACTTCCTTAACAGATGGAACCTCAACCAGCCACTCATAGGGGGTGACTTCTTCCTCCAATATTTGAGGCACCGCAGCCTCAGCAGGGTCATTCCCACTTTGCCCCATGATGTTTTCCACTCTGAGGGATTTCCCCTCCCACAGGACCTCACAGAAATGCTCATCAAATCTGCAAACCATGACCACCACCCATCCTTGCAGCGCCTCACGGCTCTCTGAAGCTCCGAGCGAAGACTGCAGTAAGCCTCCTCATTCTCTGAAGTGGGATGCTGTCGACGATGAGAGTGGGCCTGTCGCTTTTTTTCAGCCAGCCTGAACACCTCTATCAGCCATGTTCTCTGGGGAGGTCTGGACCATGTACCCAACATAGCCATTGCAGCTGCATGAGCCACAGTCCTAAACCTTGCCTATTTCCCCTCGACATCAGGAGGAGTGGGGGGCGATGCCAACCCCAGCTGCAAGTGATTATGAATTTCTCGCTTGCAACTTTCATCAGCTAGCTAAGAGCAGACCACTATGGGATTGAATGGGGTCCTGGGTATACACCCACCCCCAGAGTGGAAGAATTGCAGGTGCATCTTACAGATGACAAGTCGATTGTCAGTGGGCATATCAGCTCCACGGTAGGTCCTGGTGTCAAGGACATGGGCTCGCATCTGCTGTTCTGTCACTATGTAGTCCCGCAGATGTTCTTGCTTGGACCCGGCATGCATCCATGATGTTGTGTGGATGCGCCAATGCCAGAACAGCGTGTTGCTATTTAAAACGCCCATGGGCTGCACAAAAATCTAGCAACCTCCGCCCGTTGTTACTGAGCTGATCTGGCCCATGCCTTCCAATCACTCCAGACCAGATGCCCGCATCATGACCAACTCGGGCATTAAAATCACCTAACAGGATGACTTTATCCCGAGGAGCCACTTTAGCTAGCACCTGTGACAGGAGGTCATAGAAGGCATCTGACTCATCGGCCTTGCCTGCATCCCTCCATGGATGTTCGTCTTCGGTGGGGGCATAAGTAACCACGACCATGACTCCTCGCCTCTGGTTGATGGGAAGGCGAGCCTAAAGTAGCCTCGGGCTTACAGCTTCCCACATCTCACCGCCACGCTCCCACGCCCCCTTCATTCTCTTTTTTTCTACCCCTCGTTAGAAGAAGAGCCACTCCCTGTTGTTTGGCAGTCTCCTGCCCCAAGTAGAGGACTGTCCACCCCTCATGGTGGCACGAGCCAGAGCCAGACCACAGGACCTCCTGAATACTACAGAGATCCAGGCAGTACCGGTCTAGTTCCCGACAGAGGAGTAGCAGCTTCTCTTCTGCAGTGAGCCTTCGAACATTCCACGTGGCCACCCGCAGTAGTTTTTGCAGTTTCTGGAGGAGCCCCGAGGGTAAGCATTCAATCTCCTGGCTCCGTCAAATGGGGTTTGGCCAGGAGACGTCATGGGCGCCTGTCCTCCCGGGCCTCCGGCACAAGCTTTGTTCCATATTTTTCACGTGGTTTAGTGGTAAACAATTGAAGGTGGAGAGGTTACCAGCCCCTCACACCCATCCAGAGCCCCTATTTGGCCACTGTAGTGGTTACAAACGCCATGAGAGAGATGGCCAAACTAAATTGGCCCTCCCCCCACGGCAATGCTCGCCACAGCGTTGCCGTCCGGCACCAACAAGGAGGTAGGGTGTTGTTTTTTCACACCCATTGGTATACAAACATACTACGTTTTAGAACAGCCTTGCACCCCTTTGGTTAATATATATACTGTATAATGTTAATTTGTGTTTCGATGATTTACCTTCTCAAAAATTATGGCCATGCCTCGCACCCCAGAAAGGATATCACGCTCCCCCAGGGGGGGGGGGGGGTCGTCACAAGACATCTGGACCAACCTGTCCATTAACAATGTGCCTAATTATTATTCAGCAAATCTATCAACATTTTTTTTAATACTTTGCAATACCAAGGCACCCTTAAAAAGTTAATCATTAACAATGGTCTAATTAGATGCGTATTAATAACTCATAGTAGCATCTTGTAGACCGGTGGCACAGTAGATGATGCATTGTGCTATGAACCCAGTGACCTGAGTTCAGTTCCTGGTGACAGAAAACGCAGTGGCGAGTGATAATTTATTTTGCTCTTGTCCCCGCACCGCCAACCCCTTCCCCTTTGACAAAGGTCCCCCGTGTTGCCTCAACAGGCTGTCGGGGCAAGTGCTGTTAGCGAGCAGCACATATGAAGGCTGGCACTGTGACACACAAGGGGGTGGGTGGCCAGCACCGCGACCGGCCGCCTTTGTCTCCTCAGTGACAATGTTGTCTATACACCGCACTAAGTACTCATTTGAAGCAGAGTCAACCTAGCGGAGGAGGCCCAGGACCAGTTCAGATCATCGCTATCACTGGTGTTTTGGGTTGTGAGTGGAAATCGAACTTGGGTCGCTGGGTTCATTGTGCAGTGTGCTAACTATCACACCACCCCAACTTGCTTCACCAACCCTCATTAACCAGAGTGGTGAAGTGTGATCATATAATCCCCACGACTCGCACGGTGTTGATGCACTTCTGGAATTTGAACTTATGTACTTTATTTATCTAAGGGTCGCCACGGTGGCTAGGAGATGTTATCTTCCTCGCCGCCTGGTATGCAGGAAGTCGGGGGTTGTATCCTAACTCTGACACCTGTATTTTTAGAGTCTGCGTGTCTCTCTCCCCTTGGACGCATGGATGTTTTTCTCCTATTCCTCCGGGTTTTCCCTGTAAATTTAGAAACATGCATTGAGATGAATGAGATTATTTGGCGGTATACATTTCCACGTGATAAGCCACTTCATTGAGCTATCATTTGTGGCCAGGTCACTTCTGAAAAAGAAGCTAATAGCTCAGTGGGCCTTTCCTGGTAAGATAACATAGTTTAGTTTTATTTGTATGTTTTAAGTGATGGGCCTTTCCTGGTAAGATAACATAGTTTAGTTTTATTTGTATGTCTTAAGTGATGTGCTTACCTTTCCTATACTTTTCTCTCCTATCGTGTATGTGTGTTTGTTGTTGCAACGTTCTGACCCTGTGCCCGTACTTGACATCTGTGAAAAAGAGCATGATAGATAATCGTATTCCTTCAGTATAAATACAGATTATGATTTTGAAATTATAATTTGTATGTTGTTATCATATTCACATTCGTTTAAACGTAGATTTGTTCTGTTGCTTTGCAGGTTGACCCCAAAGCAAGCAATGGCAAAGGTCCAGAGATTGAACGCCTGCAAAATGCCATTTAGAGATCCTCAGTCAGACGTCTAACTTCTCAAATGCCGAGACGATCTTATCCATTCATATAGTCGACTCTAGCAACGTCTTGCAGCACAAGCCTAATACATATAACGTACTCTATATATTGCATGTTTATTTTTGCTATGCATCGAGATAGCTTTTTTTGTTAATCCATTGCTGGATCAAAGAATGCCCATGCCCATCATCCCTCACCACGCTGGTCAGTGTAGGTTGAAGGTGAGGAGCATATATCTTGGGGTCCGTACAGTACAATAATGGATTTCCAATGAATTGTACTCTGCTGCCCACCGCTTATGCCAGCAGCAGACTATCGTCACCTGCTGTTTGCGTGTGTTGCCTATCCAAGCACTTATCCAGGCTAAATATTGCTTATCTTTAGATATATAAGAAGAGCTGGCACATTCGGGGTTGTTTTGCAATCTAAAGCTTGTATATACTGCCTTGTACTTTTCATATCAGTTACAGTTGCATATGTACGTGAGTTATATACTCCTTAACGACATAACAGACACAAGCAAGTATTCAATTTAACAGAATTAGAAATGCTCTATATTAGTGCAGACTGCTTCTAACCACCAAAGGAAACAATAAACGCACATACACCATACACTATAAAATGTCCAGGTACCTGTAAGAAAGTACAGGTACTCCTCTACTTACGAACGAATTAGGCTCCAGAGATCTGTTCGTAAGTCGATGTGTTTGTAAGTTGAACTTTACTCTTTTCGATTCGAAACATCTTGTACGGCATGTACACTAAACACGGGGAATGACTTTTAAAGTTGTATACTCTCCTGTAGACGTAGATGCCACTGGTCCTTCATGTTCTGCAGATAAAGATGCCACCACCACCATCTATTGCACGGCAGTTGAACTTACTTCTCTCGGTCCGAACATAAAACTAGACGGGTTTGTTCATATCTCTGGAAGTTCGTAAGTCGAATGTTTGTAAGTAGAGGAGTCCCTGTAAATGTATTTTTTAATGATAATTAAAGCATTACGTAGCTCATTTTTCAGAGCGGCAAAGCATTTTTAAAAGGTGGCCGTCCTTCTTTGAGCCACTCTCCCAGTCCTTGGAAAAAACATTGCCATAAGACATTTGCCTCTTTCTCCTGAAATACTTCCATGGTCTTAGTTTTGTAAGATAATCTATTGATTGTAAAGGTTGAAGAGTCTTACACAATTTCACACATGCTCTACAGCAGTGGTTGTTAACGTTTACTGCAGCCTGCACCCCTTTGGTTCTCAATTGTACACAAATTTACAATGTTAATACATACATAGAGTTCGATTAAACAAATAAAATTTTGACTTCCATGTGCGTGCTTAATGTCTGTTTTCGATTATTTACCTTTCTAAATAAATCTGCCAATGTATTGTACCCACATATAGGGCATCCCGCACTCCCAGTGGGTGCGTGATGCACCCCACCTAAAGAAAAATCACTGCTCTACTGTAACGTGTAAAATTTCTTACAAGCTCTACAGCCGTGCCCTCAAACCTATAAAAAGAAAGTGACAAAGCCCTTCCTCAACAGATCACGAGGGGTACCCATTTCTGTTAACAGGAGTGAGTTGTAATGCTGTATTTAAATGCTCAATAAAACGCATCCTAAAATATCTTCCAAAACTGTTTAAACCACGGGTTTTTAAACAATGTGTGTGATTTTGGCTCATCGCCACAGGATTTTATTTCTTCTCTCTCGATGTTTGTCCAGTGAGATAGAACGTAAGGACTTTCCTTCATACATATGTAATGACCGACGCAACAGACCACTTACCTAAAACAAGCATACATGCAAACGGACAGTAACGAAGTCAACCAAGGCCTCCAGTTGGTGCAGAGAGGCCTCCGGAGTGATTGGTTGGGAGGCGAGGTTTAAAGGGATTGGAGGATTGATTGGAACCTAAAAGGCAGGAAGCGAGGGTGGACAGTAGAGGGGTGATGGTTGACAACCGTTAGAGGAGGAGGGGGAGGATTGGATGAAGGAAGTGGAGTGAACTAAGCCTCCAGAAAGAGGGCTCAGGGAGTATAAAAAGGGGACAGCACAAGGGGAGGGGACGTTCGGGGATAGTACGAGTCTCAAGCATCAAGAAAAGAAGCCCGGGCCGAGTGTTCGTGCTGTGGTCCAAATACAAAGGCTCAGAGTAGCAACTTGTGTCGGCATCGTTACACATATGTAGGGTACTGCACATGGTAAGGGTTATAGTGGGGTCAGTGGAGACAGGTGCAGGGTACTGTACGAGGGAAGGTACGAGAAGGGAAGTAGAAGATGGTTGTGTCTGCTGGAAGAATCTACCGGGGGAAAATGCTAGAAGTTACCAGTGCGTGGCCGAGCGGGTATATAAGGGGCAACATTGGGACTGAATGTTGCAGATTGACATCGTGGAAACACCGAGCCGACTGTTTGAGACCTACATGGTGGAAAATATCAAGAAAGACTGTCCAAGTTAAACTAGTGGAAACCACTAGGGCTGCAGATAGTCATAGTCTTGTGAAACGTGTTAGTTATACTCTCACATTGTAAATACGTTACTGTAAAACAAATTGTCCAGAAAATGGAACCTGTGAAGGAGCTTCTATACACTGGTGGCAGTGGTGGGATTCCGTCAACAAGTCTAAGGAGAAAGACTCGCCAAGGAGCTCCTAATGAAGATGAGTCATCAATCCCAAGTGCCCCAGGTTTTCGAGACCCGGAAAATAAGAGCGAGAGGCGGACCCCATTGATGGCCAAGTTTCCGACGGAGGTAGAGGCCCTGCCAAAGATCCAAGAACCAGCATCGCCAGAAAAGGAAAATTAGCCGCAGATGTCAGAGAGATTAGACCACTTTACCTCAGTAGTGGATCGACTGGTGATGACGATGAAGAGAAGAGAGGAGGAGGGAGCAGGTGCTGTGTGGCTTGAGCCAGAGCCGCCACCACCATTGACCACGCGGCGAGGAGCAAGAGAACCGATCAACTGGTTCAACCGCAACTGGAAGCTGTGCTACAGACTTCGATTACCGTGAAGGAGAATACGAAAAGGCTGGGACCCTTAAAATTATTTAAGGCAATGGGAAGCGATTGGATGACGTTTATCAAAATATTTGAAGCAGCTATCAAGAGTCAGCTAATGGAGTGATGAAGAAGCGCTACAAGCACTGACTATGGTGTTGGATGATGGAATGCTAACAGCCTTCATTACGATCCCGGAAAATCAACGCACCACACTCCAACAAGCTTGTGAAGGGATGTCCTCCGTCCAGTGCAAGGCAGCGATTTTCGGCCTTGAGAAGGGGAGAGAGCGAGCCGCCGTTGGTTTACAGAAGCACCTTGCTAGTGCTTGCAGGTGTGGCGTTCCCGAGGATGGACGAGGTGGCCCGGGATGTGCTGGTGGCGGAGTGGCTGCAAACTCTCCTCGACCAAAGCGGCATTACATTGCTGATTATGCCAGAGAGCAAACAAACTTCAATGCGATTTGCTAAATTTATCTGTGCACATGAAGAACCCAGGGCGCCATGTGAAGTAGTGACACAGGTGACAAGAGTGATGGAGAATGGATGAGCAGGAGGACCAGCGGAGCCGACGGGGACAGCGACAACAAGGACCGCCGCAAAGCCCAGCATGGAGGGTGATCTGCAGGTGACCTTGGAAGAGATGGCAGCGGCCATCCGGGGGTTAAACAATCCAAGGCGCCAACTACAGCAGCAGTGACCATAGCAGAACTGCGGAGGAATCCGGGACCAAGCGGTGATCTACTGCTACCACTGTGGATGGCCGGGCCACATCGCGAGAGGATGCCAAGGGGAAGTTGATCCGAGACAACCAAGGCAGCTCCGGACAACATCGCGGGACTTTCCAAGAGCCAGGCAAGTCACGACTCCCCATACACCCGGCCAGACACACATGCACCTCATTTCCAATACCTTCATCACCATCATCACCAGCATACCACTCTATCACGGCGATCTGGAGTGACAAAGCAGGGCAAATTGAGCCAACATCTAGGGTGAAGTGGAAAAAAGTTAGCGTGACGGGTCATAGCAGCAACCTACGGGAACATCAGTTTTGGCGGGAGCGATTGAGGGAAATCCCGTGAGGGTGTTGGTGGACACGGGAGCATCAGTAACCATAATTTCTCCACTCGTGTTTGATATGTTACCAGCATAAAAAAACATTGGCTTGAACCAGTTGACAATACATTTGTGGAGGCTAATGGCTGTAGTCTAGGATTGTGGGAAACGTTAACACAGACATCCATATCGGAGGAATATGTTTTACGGATGCTGTTTTGGTCTCTCTTCCCTAGCAGTACCATGTCTAATGGGTACTGATTATTTAAAGTCGGCTACCCATTAAGATAACCATGGACCAGGGCTATTTTGAGATGCCATCAGGAAAAATGATATATTTTTTGCAGCCTGATGTGGATACAGGAAAGGCCGCTAGAGTACACGCCCTGGTGGGAGAGTCGATGACGATTCCGCCGCTAGCACAGGTGTTAATTCTCTTGTGATATCGATCACCATTAATCACCTAAAGCGCAGACAGCAATTATAATTGCACCATTGGGGCCAAGAATCAGTCGATATTTGCTAGCGGCGGTGGACACCATTTTAATATGGAACCAGCAGCTACAGTATGTATGCAAGTTTTAAAAACGTCAGAGCTGGCAATTATATTGCGAGAAGGGACGGTAATTGCGCAGATTTCCCCAGCGATTGAGATTCATGAGATGCAGTAGTAGCGGGGATACAGGGAGAGAAGGATGGGATAGGGTCTCCCTGGGCAGAGAAAATCGTTAAACGGAACCCTGAATTGACTCAAGGTCAAATAAACTGTTTTAAAAGTCTCCTTCTAGAATTTGAAGACGTTTTCAGTAATGGCCCACATGATCTTGGTTTTACGGGCTTGATGCAGCACCATATTGAAACAGGGAATGCTCAACCTGTTAGACAGAATTCATATAGAGTGGGACCAGCAGAAAAAGAGCAGATCCTTAGAGCTACAGATGAGATGTTGAGAGCGGTTATCGTTTCTCCATCAACCAACCCCTGGGGAGCACCAGTTGTACTAGTAAAAAAGCCAGATAGTTCTGTGATGCCGCCGCCACGGAGCCGATCGGCGGGTGGCCCACCTGCGATCTCGCCGCCCCGAGCGACGAGGCCGACATTGCTCCACCCCACCACCTCCCCACCCCCCCCCACCGGAACACACACGCACGCACTCCCCCCACCATTAGAGCGCGTGGGGAGACACCCTGGCCGACAGGTTTTCACCCAGAAGCCCTCGTAAAGGGATAATCTTCACGGTTTCCTGCGGCCAGGGAATTGGACGGTCTCCTCCGACGCTAACACACACCGTGGCGCCGTGACTTGAGTAGAAATGACATGTTCACGGCGGGGCTGCCCCGCCACCGCGGTTAGTACGCACCTCACGCACACGGGTCGGCAGGGCAGGTAAGGAGGAGGGCAGAGCCACGAGCGGCGGGAAAGCAGGGTCGCCCTCTGGCTGGATGGCCGCTGAGCAGGTAAATTTAGATGCGGACGTCGCTGAAAGCAACGGCCCGGGGGATGCTGGGATACAGATGGGTCTACCGATTGGCGGGTGATCCCAACGAGCTGATTGGCCCGCGAGTCGGCACCAGGTAGCCCCTTTGATGTAGAAAGAATAAAGCGGGTCAGGGCGAAGGAAAAAGGCTCTCTGGCTACTCGAGTCAACCCCAGGCCCGTCAACTCCCGAGTCCAGCCGCGCGAACGTCCGTGGGACGTATCGACGCGCCGCGAGGACCAGCCGGCAGTGACGGCGAACCGTGAGTAAGGGAGGGAGAGAAAGAGGGAGTTGGGACTTAGCTTAAGAAGAAAACCGGAGAGGGTAAAGGGGAGAAGGACAGGTAGAGTATAGTGCCGACTATCGAGAGATAGATTGGTCCTGCCCCGCCGATCCCGACTGACTCGGTTAAATAAGGGCTCGCCGACCCGGTGGAATAAATCGTCGGCGATTACATAACGGACTGGTGTGGTTTTTGCGAGGGTGTGGAAAGAGAGTGGAAGCGTGGGTGCCCTCGCTGTTCGCGGTGGTCGCCGCGTGTGTGGAGCGGCGCCGCGTGGGGTGTGGGCGCTACAAACCGTCGGCGGCGGACTCCCCCGTTGCGAGCGGATACCCATCTCGCACGCATGCCCATCGCATAGCCCTTTAAACCCGTTTAACCCAATCCCCCCAATCGCCGAAGTGGGTACGAACGACGTCGCTTACCCTCCGACCTCTAACCCCCGGTTACCCGCGTGTGATTGGTGCGTGGGACTGCGCGGGCGGGGAGCGTCGCGTTCGGGTGCCGGCGAAGCGCTAGCGGGCCCCAGGGCGGTCGAGGGCGATGCCTCACCGGCAGGAAACCCGGACTCGGGGGGGGACAGCACAGGGGGGGGGAACAGGAGCGCGGCGACCTTTCCCCGCCCGGTGAGGAGTGCAGCGGCGGCAGCTCCCACACTAGTGGGGAGTCTGGGAGCGTCGGTCCTTCGCGGACAGGGTCGCAGGCGGGAGAGATCCCGGGGGCCGGCGACCCTAACAGTTTGGCGTCAGAAGCGGTACGAACCCCCGCGTTACCCCACGCGAAAATAAGGCATATATTCACTGGCCGGG